ACACACTGTAACCAGAGTGATCACTTAAAGTGAGCTATTACCAGCAGGGGGGGATAAACATGGGGAAATAGTTTTACTTTGTGTAATGACCCATCCACTCCCAGTCTCTATTCAAGCCTAAGTTAAATTGTATCCAGTTTGCAAATTAATTCCAATTCAGCAGACTCTCCTTGGAGTCTGTTTTTGAAGATTTTTTGTTGAAGAATTGCCACTTTTAGGTCTGTAATCGAGTGACCAGAGAGATTGAAGTGTTCTCCAACTGGTTTTGAATGTTATAATTCTTGACGTGTAATTTGTGTCCATTTATTCTTTTACATAGAGACTGTCCGCTTTGACCAACGTACATGGCAGAGGGGCATTGCTGACACATGATGGCATATATCACATTGGTAGATGTGCAGGTGAACGAGCCTCTGATAGTGTGGCTGATGTGATTAGGGTGATTGTGACCCCTGAATAGATATGTGGGCACAGTTGGCAACGGGCTTTGTTGCAAGGATAGGTTCCTGGGTTAGTGGTTCTGTTGTGTGGTATGTGGTTGCTTGTGAGTATTTGCTTCAGGTTGGGGGCCTGTCTGTAAGCAAGGACTGGCCTGTCTCCCAAGATCTGTGAGGGTGATGGGTCGTCCTTCAGGATAGGTTGTAGATCCTTGATGATGCACTGGAGAGGTTTTAGTTGGGGGCTGAAGGTGATGGCTAGTGGCGTTCTGTTATTTTCTTTGTTGGGCCTGTCCTGTAGTAGGTGACTTCTGGGTACTCTTCTGGCTCTGTCAATCTGTTTCTTCACTTCAGCAGGTGGGTATTGTAGTTGTAAGAACGCTTGATAGAGATCCTGTAGGTGTTTGTCTCTGTCTGAGGGGTTGGAGCAAATGCGGTTGTATCGTAGAGCTTGGCTGTAGACAATGGATCGTGTGGTGTGGTCTGGATGAAAGCTGGAGGCATGTAGGTAGGAATAGCCGTCAGTAGGTTTCTGGTATAGGGTGGTGTTTATGTGACCATCGCTTATTCGCACCGTAGTATCCAGGAAGTGTGGACTGGTGGACTGGTCCAGGCTGAGGTTGATGGTGGGATGGAAATTGCTGAAATCTTGGTGGAATTCCTCAAGGGCTTCTTTTCCATGGATCCAGATGATGAAGATGTCATCAATGTAGTGCAAGTAGAGTAAGGGCATTAGGGGACGAGAGCTGAGGAAGCGTTGTTCTAAGTCAGCCATAAAAATGTTGGCATACTGTGGGGCCATGTGGGTACCCATAGCAGTGCCGCTAATTTGAAGGTATACATTGTCCCCAAATGTGAAATAGTTATGGGTGAAGACAAAGTCACAAAGTTCAGCCACCAGGTTTGCCGTGACATTATCGGGGATACTGTTCCGGATAGCTTGTAGTCCATCTTTGTGTGGAATGTTGGTGTAGAAAGCTTCTACATCCATAGGGGCCAGGATGGTGTTTTCAGGAAGATCACCGATGGATTGTAGTTTCCTCAGGAAGTCAGTGGTGTCTCGAAGATAGCTGGGAGTGCTGGTAGCGTAGGGCCAGAGGATGGAGTCTACATAGCCAGACAATCCTGGTGTCAGGGTGCCAATGCCTGAGATGATGGGGCGTCCAGGATTTCCAGGTTTATGGATCTTGGGTAGCAGATAGAATATTCCAGGTCGAGGTTCACTTAAAGTGAGCAGGAGAGCAGGGGTGGGGGTGGGAGGGGAACCTTTTGTAGTGATAATCAAGGTGGGCCATTTCCAGCAGTTGACAAGAACGTCTGAGGAACAGTGGTGGTGGGGGTGGGGGGGGGGGGGGATAAACATGGGGAAATAGTTTTACTTTGTAATTAGAGAGGCTATTAAAATAAAAAACTCAATAATAATGCGGGATTTCAACTATCCCCATACTGACTGGGTACATATCACCTCGGGACGGGATGTAGAGATAAGGTTTCATGGGGGGGAGGGATAGCTCAGTGGTTTGAGCTTTGGCTTGCTAAGCCCAGGGTTGTGAGTTCAATCCTTGAGGAGGCCATTTACGGATATGGGGCAAAAATTGGGGATTGGTCCTGCTTCAAGCAGGGGGTTGGACTAGATGACCTCCTGAGGTCCCTTCCAACCCTAACCTTCTATGATTCTATACCTTAAATGACTGCTTCTTGGAGCAGCCAGTCCTGGAACCCACAAGAGGAGAGGCAATTCTTGATTTAGTCCTAAATGGAGCACAGGGTCTGGTCCAAGAGGTGAATATAGCTGGACTACTTGGTAATAGTGACCATAATATAATTAAATTTAACATCCCTGTGGCGGGGAAAACACCACAGCAGCCCACCATGGTAGCATTTAATTTCAGAAAGGGGAACTACACAAAAATGAGGAGGTTAGTGAAACAGAAATTAAAAGGTACAGCGCCAAAAGTGAAATCCCTGCAAGCTGCATGAAAACTTTTTAAAGACACCATAATAAATGCTTAACTTAAATGTTCACCATAAATTAAAAAAGAGAACCAAAGAAGTGCCACTGTGGCTGAACTACAAAGTAAAAGAAGCAATGAGAGGCAAAAAGGCATCATTTAAAAAGTGGAAGATAAATCCGACTGAGAAAAATAGAAAGGAGCAACGCTCTTGCAAATGAAGTGTAAAAATATAATTAGGAAGGCCATAAAAGAATTTGAAGAACAGCTAGCCAAAAACTCCAAAAGTAATAGCAGAAAAAAATTTAAGTACACCAGAACCAGGAAGCCTGCTAAAAAACCAGTGGGGCCACTGGATAATCAAGATGCTAAAGGAGCACTCAAAGACAATAAGGCCATTGCGGAGAAACTAAATGAATTCTTTGCATCGGTCTTCATGGCTGAGGATGTGAGGGAGATTCCCAAACCTTAGTCATTCTTTTTAGGTGACAAATCTGAGGAACTGTCCCAGATTGAGGTGTCATTAGAGGAGGTTTTGGAACAAATTGATAAACTAAACAGTAATAAGTCACCAGGAGCAGATGGTATTCACCTAAGAGTTCTGAAGGAACTGAAATATGAAATTGCAGAAGTACTGACTGTAGTCTGTAACCTATCATTTAAATCAGCTTCTGTACCAGATGACTGGACGATAGCTAATGTGATGCCAATTTTTAAAAACGGCTCCAGAGGTGATCCCAGCAATTACAGGCCGGTAAGCCTGACTTCATTACCGGGCAAACTGGTTGAAACTATAGCAAAGAACAAAATTGTCAGACACAAAGATGAACATAATTTGTTGGGGAAGAGTCAACATGGTTTTTGTAAAGGGAAGTCATGCCTCACCGATCTACTAGAATTCTTTGAGGGGGTCAACAAGCATGTGGCCAAGGGGGATTCAATGGATATAGTGTACTTAGATTTTCAAAAAGCCTTTGACAAGGTCCTCACCAAAGGCTCTTAAGCAAAGTAAGCAGACATGGGATAAGAGGGAAGGTTCTCTCATGGATTGGTAACTGGCTAAAAGATAGGAAACAAAGGGTAGGAATAAATGGTCAATTTTCAGAATGGACAGACGGTGTCACCCAGGGGCCTATTCTGGGACAGTCCTATTCAACATATTCTTAAACAATCTAGAAAATGCACTTTCTGCAACTTCAGTGTCTGTAATTAGCAGTGTGAAAACCCAGTTTAAGAAGAGGAAGCCCCATTAGCAGTAGGTTGCCAGGTCACCAGTTTTCAAACTAACACCTGGTAGAAAAGGGACCCTCCCTCCGCAATGAGTGAGGGTGGGTGGGAAAGAGCAAGCAATGGAAGGAGGATGGAGTGAGTGGGGTGGGGTAGGGCCTTGGAGAAGGGGCAGGGGCTGGGTGTTTGGTTTTGTTCGGTCAGAAAGTTGGCAGCCCCTAAGGGATGAAGAAAAGGAGTACTTGTGGCACTTGAGACTAACAAATTAATTTGAGCATAAGCTTTCATGAGCTACAGCTCACTTCATTGGATGCCTGCAGTATGGGTGTTATCATACACACTGTAACGAGAGTGATCAGGTAAGGTGAGCTCATTGGAGTCTGTTTTTGAAGTTTTTTTGTTGAAGAATTGCCACTTTTAGGTCTGTAATCGAGTGACCAAAGAGATTGAAGTGTTCTCCGACTGGTTTTTGAATGTTATAATTCTTGATGTCTGATTTGTGTCCATTTATTCTTTTACATAGAGACTCCAACAAGAGACTGCTGAATTGGAATTAATTTGCAAACTGGACACAATTAACTTAGGCTTGAATAAAGACTGGGAGTGGATGTGTCATTACACAAAGTAAAATTATTTCCCCATGTTTATTCCCCCCTCTCTGTTCCTCACAGGTTCTTGTCAACTGCTGGAAATGGCCCACCTGGATTATCACTACAAAAGGCTTCACCCCCCCTCCGCCCGCTGGTAATAGCTCACCTTACCTGATCACTCTGGTTACAGTGTGTATGGTAACACCCATTGTTTCATGTTCTCTGTGTGTATAAATCTCCCCACTGTATTTTCCACTGCAGGCATCCGATGAAGTGAGCTGTAGCTCAGGAAAGCTTATGCTCAGATACATTGGTTAGTCTCTAAGGTGCCACAAGTCCTCCTGTTCTCTTTCCACCCGTCCTCCACGTTTCGCAGTCCCTGTGCCAGAGTGGCTGAGTAGGAGCGGCAGGTGGAGCAAGGCGGGGCCCTCCCTGGTGAGGGGGGTGCAGGCCTTGGGGGGAGGAGGGGACAGGCTCAGGCTGGGGCAGTCCCCGCGCAGTCCCTCCCTGCTCCAGCAGCTGCTCACACTTTCCTCGCTGTCTGGCTCTTTAAGGTCAATTTAAAACAAGACGCGCCGCTTGGCGAGTGCCCAGCCAATAAAAATGGCGGATGAGGGAGATCACGCCCCCCGTGTGTCTTGGCCCGCCCGCTGGCCGAGAAGCCGTTTCTCCCATTGGCTGAGGTAGCCGATTTTTAAAACGCTGTGCACCGCCCTTAGCAACCGCATTCAACCTGGCTCACTGATTGGCTGCCTACTGGCCAATCGCAAGCTGCCTCCTGCCAAGGCCGCAGTTTTCAAATCTACGTTGTGCAGCAGCAGCAGCCACAGCTCTTAGGCGGAGGCCGGATCGGGCCGGGATCGGGGCCGGGCGCTGAGAGGCCAGGTGAGCTCCGGGCCTGGCGGGTCACCTTACCCCCCCCCCCGGCCGGCCTGCACTTCCCGGGCCCCGGCCCGCTCTGCCCGGGGTGCCAGCGTCCCTGCCCCGCGTCAATGCAGCCCGTGTTGCGCCTTCCCTCCGGCATGTGGCCCGGGCAGACTTGCCCTTGTCCTTCCTGCGGCCTGCGCTTCCTCTCGGCTTGCTGCTGCCGCCCCTTCCCTGAGCGTCGCCTGCGAAATCGCTGTGGGGTTGGCAGGGAGCTTCGGCAGCTGCTGATTGCTCCCTCCCCGGGCCTGCAGTCCGCGGTGGGCTGACCCCGAGCCGTGCTGGGGGGAAAGAGAAGTTTATAAGGGTTCAGGGTTGATTAGATAATGGGTGTGTGTGTTCCAGAGTCCTTTACCCTGAGCCAAAGTTCAGTGACTCCGGGAGAAGGTGCAAATTCAGATCTCTTGTGGCTGGGGGCAGCTGCATGGTGATGAGATTTGTACTGGCCTCGTTCCCCTTGCTGGGTGCTGCACTAACCCTGGCTGGCTCTCCTCTGATTGGATGGTTTTATCCATAATGTGTCTCCAAACAGCAGCTCAGTAATTTCTGTCTATGTGGATTAGCTAACTCAGTTGTGTCTTTTGAATCTGTTGGGTGGATATTGCAAACCAAGCCAGTTGTGATGTGTAGCCATTGTTCCTCTTTTACTGCAGAGCTTTTGGGAAATCCAGGTTTCTGAGCCAGGTTGGAAGGTCCTGGAAAACCTAATCCCAGCTGCTAAAATGATAGCATGTTTTCCACCAAGTACCCTATTATTAAAGGTTTCAGAGTAGCAGCCGTGTTAGTCTGTATTCGCAAAAAGAAAAGGAGTATTTGTGCTCAAATAAATTTGTTAGTCTCTAAGGTGCCACGAGTACTCCTATTATTAAAGCACCTGAGATGTGTCCCTGGCTTGATGTGCTGTGGCTCCTGGCTATAATTAACCTTGTTGACCTAGAGCACACATTCCAGGGCTGTCTTTGGGAAGGGGGTGGGAATGAAAGGTGCTAGTGGAATGACTGCTTAATGGCACTGTAGGAAAGTGTTCTCTCTGTTTGCCCCCCTCCATCAATTTAACCAGAGGACAAAAGTCCATATTTACCTTCCCACGCAACTCCCATGACCTCAGTACAGTCACATAAAGCATAGATTTGGTTCCAAGCATCCTTAGTTTAAAGGGGAGGAGGGTAATGTTGACAGTCCCAAAATGTCACTGCATGGATTTCTGCCCTTAGGTGGCTCAGACCGGCCACTTAATGCAAAAACAAATATGTAAACAGCTACAGACCTGGACCTGGACTGTGGAGCCTTTCACATCTAGGTTGCTAGTTCACATCCAGCCTGGCAGGCAGGTGCTCAGCTGTTGTGGGGATGGGCTCATTACAACTGCTTGAGATCTAGCTACAGTGTCAAAATTGTTCTTGTCTAGTGCCTGGGTGGGGGGAGTGTGTCTCTGTCCAGCTCCTAGTGAGGTGGGGGGCCCACTCACAATCCATATCCGCTGACACTAATGAGGCCTATTCTATGTCAAGGTTAAAGTGCATTGGCTGGGGCATTGTGAGTGGGTACCTTGCCATGCTGGTGCCCATCTGTACCTGTTCTGTGAGTAAACAGAGGCCAATCAGTCTCCAGGGCTGATAATCCAGCTCCAAAGCCATACAGACAGTTGCTTTGCCCTCCTGTCTCCCCCTATCTTAAGGCAGTGAGGCCTAGTGGATAGAGCACCCAGGAGACATGGGTTCTAGTCCCAGCTCTACCATGGGATTGCTGGATGACCTCAGGTAAGTCCGTTCACAGCCCCGTGCCTCAGTTTCTCCATCTGTAAAATGGTGGTCATGATGCTCCCCTCCTGGCTGTGTGATTTATGACTGAAATTTAAGAGCTGGGTGTTGGCCAGTATATAGATGTTGGGAAACGCTTTGTAACATGCACTCTGAAAATGGCTGCTGAGCAGGAAGGGGGACCCACATATCAGGGTTCATTTGTGAAGGGGTGATGTCACAGTAGCCACTGGAGTCAATGGAAACTGTTACAGCCTAGTGCTCTCTGTAGTGACTGGGTGCGGTCTGGGCTGTACATGGGAGAACAGCAGAGCTGGTGGGAGCTTGTCTGGAAAGTCACTCTAGGTTGGGTTGTCGTCATGGCTTAGGTCTCCAGATTTGAACAAAAGGCTTTTCAGCTCCTGCGGGCGTGAGCTATCCCTACCCTGATCTGTTGGTTTGTGTTCCTTGGAGCTACACCAGGTGTTGGGATTGGCGCTGCCAAAGGCACTGAACACACTAGGCCCTTAACACGCTGGGGTGATTTTGTCTGGCTCCCTAGCATGAGCAGATCTCCTTTGCATCAGACTGACTGGAAGACAGGTGAAGATTGGCTGCTCTAGCTTCCCAGAGTGCGAGCCAATGGGGTCTCTGTTTCCCAGAGGAGGGGGTGCAAACTGCAGAGAGGAACTAGCCAGATACACCAGCTGATAGGAGCAGCTGTAGAAGCAGCCAAGGCAGGGACCTTCAGACATCCAGAGATCTTTCTGGAGTTCTCATTGAACTACTGCTCCAACCCTCTTCCTCAGTCTCTTCATCTTCACTTCTCTCCACACTACCACTCTAACCATCTTCTCCCCTGCATCCTCCTCGCCTTCCCTTTTCTTTCCATTTAATCATGCGACTAACATGCTATTTGTTGCCATCACATGGTTCACTCAGCTGGTGTGTTCTATACCTTCCCCCTGTATAGATTACAAGCTCTTTGGAGCGTGGACCTTCTGCTGTTCTGTTTATATGGCACCTAGCACAATAGAGTCCTGATCTTGGATGCTCTTTAGGCACATTAATATCTGCTTTCTCCCAGCCCTACCTCGCATGTCACTACTTCGGTGCAACCACGCTTCCAGCTGGGCCCTAACTGCCAGCCCCCTGGCAGAGTGATGGGAGGGAGGAAGAAGCAGAGCGGGATAGACTGAATTCAATCTGAATTGTAACTAAATATCCTATTTTGGGGGCCAGAGAGCAAAGGTCCTACAGTGGGTCTTAGATCTGGATCTTCCGCTGGACAGCTTGCTGTCACCAGGTTGGCACTGGCTTGCTGGTGTCCCATTCATCATGTCCCTCAGCAGCCAGACAACCCTGAGGGAGAAGTGGCTGGTTCTCTGCAGTGCTGCAGATTAGAGTCTGCAGGGGTACATGAGTGTGTCCAGGGATTTTTTTTTGGCATGCTCCCCTCCTCTGTTACCTCCGTAATGCCTGCATCTTCTTCAGCACCTCCAACGCTCCGGATGGGTAGACTTGCCTGCAAACTGCTGCTGAAAGCCCCAACCTTCCCCACCCACCACCCCCAACAACCAAACGCACCTGCCAGCATCCTTCCTGCCTTCCTGTTGCCTCAGCCCTCCTGCTGCCCCATGGACAAAGGCCCCGGCCTCCTTCCCGGCCTTCAGAATGCTCCCAGTTGTTATTTCCATGAGACCTCAGTGGCATTCAAAGAGTTAAATAGGGAGTATGCTCACTCTGGCTTGCATGCTCCTAAGCCCTAGCAGTGGTTCTTCCCCGCCTCACATGAGAAGGCCCCCAGACTAGCTCTGCTTCTGTGCCACTCGCCTTCCTCAAAGCAGCTTCGCACCAGTGCAGGAAATGCTGCCATGGCAGGGCAACCGTTGCTCTAACAGGATCCTGCAGAAGCTGTTTCATCCCGTTGCCTTTTCCCCATGACAGTAGGGTGGTTCTTGTTGCGTTGCTCCCCAGTCAGAAGGTAATGGAATGGGGGTGGCCACGACCCAAGGTCCCTTGGGCTGAAAGCTGTGGAGAGAGGTGGCGTTAGCCTGGAGAAGCAACGGTGGCTCCAGTAGCGCCTGAAAAACCAGACCGTGAGGGATGAGGCTGGGGGGTGGGGAGGCACTGCTTCCCCGCTTAGGCTTCCCAGGGAGTCACGGAGAACTGTGGGAGGTAGTGGATTCTGTTTGATCCCAAAGGGCTACTCTCTGCCTGTGAGGAGTTTACGTGTATTAAAGGTAGTGTCTGAGCTGCTGCTAAAATCCTTGGGGCAGAGGCAGAGGTTTGCAGTCACTGCTCTGTGGTGTGGATGATAACAGGTGGGAGTATGGATAGAAAATAAACCCATGTCTCCTAGCGTTGCTCACTGGGAGCCCTTGGGCTAATCCTTTCCCCTCCCCATGCCTCAGTTTCCCCATCTGTGAGGTGCGGATGAAGGCTGTTTGCCTGCCTCATGAGGGAGGCTGAGGCCTTGAGTCTGTAGAGTGCATTGAGATCATTAGTCAGCATTTTGGGGGCATCTCTCGCCTCTGTGTGCAGGTGTGCTTGGGCGGAGGCTGACGGGAGAAGATGCCAGTGCCACGCAACTCCAAGACCACGGGTAGTAAACAGCTCCGGCCTGGCAAAGCAGGAGCAGTGGAAAATGCCAGACCTGAGAAGGTGAGTCTGTGGGGCTAGTAATTTCCTCCTGCCCCGCTGGGAGCTGGGGATGTGGATACATATGGATCGCTCACTTCGGGGGTTGCAATGGGGCCTTTGCTGGTAAAGGTGCGGGCTGGTCCCTGGAGTTTGGAGGCCACAGGGAAAAGGTGGCTTCTCCCTCTTCTAAGATTTGGGCCAAGATTGGTCCCAGCACTTCAGTCGTGTTAATGCTTTAAAGCTCCGGGCTGGCCCCTACAGAGCTTCAGTCTAGCCTGTTGCCCTTTGGGCAAGTCACGCAGCCTCAAACCCTATCTGTAAGCTGGGGTCTAGCCTGCCCTCACTTTCCCCCTCAATGGGGTTTGGTGAGGCTGATACATCAGATTCAGCTACTGTGGCATTGTGGGGCAGACCTATCACAGCTGGAGCTGTGAGAATACGTGACGCTTCCAGACCCACCTCGACTGGTGGTATCTGAAAGTTGGTATCTTCGGTGCCATGTCCCTTGCTCTGGACATGGCTGCCAAGGGAAGGGTGGCAGAGGAGCCCACGCTTGGTGAGGTTGGGTCCAGCATGCCATCTCAATGATCTGCTCCTTGCTCTAGGAGGAGAGCTGTCAAGCAAAGAGGTCCCCATCCTCACCCCAGGGGGCACCCAAGAAGAGGTCTGCCTTCGGAGACCTCACTAACGTAAGGACACAGCACTGCTGCAGGGACTGGGGAGGAAGCTTGTGGGGGAACTGGATGGGCAGGGTTCCTCCCTGAGCTGAATGTTTCATGTCTACCTTGTGTCCCCCTGTCTTGTTGTCTGGTCTTGTTTGGTGCTGACTTGTGCATGGGCTGGGGTGTGGGGGACTAGGGGTCCTGATGCCTGGCCCACTGCTCTGATATAAAGACCATGCTCCCATATATTAGTCCTTACACTCTGATCAGGGAACAAACTCTTCTTCCGCATCCCAGCCCTGTGCTCTAACCACTAGACCATGCTGATGTTAACCTTAAAATATTTTCCCTGCTAAGACTGGCGGGCTCAACATCCAGTGAAACTTCACAACTATCAATAGCCTGCAGGCAAACCAGGCAGCAAACCTGTTTGCTTCGGAGGGACTAGCTCCTTTCATTGGCTTCCCTGTATTGGATGTGCTCCTACACCTCCCCAGGGGTCCCTCTAGACAGTGCATGTTGCAGTGTACTGCTTAAGGAGCATTGTGACCAAACTTCCTGCCACAGAGGGAGCTGGTCACCCCTCAATCAGAGTGCAAAGCTTGGATTTCCATCCCTGCTGGAAGCCATCTGGGTTACAAGCTGGATTTTTCAGCTTGGAAAAGAGACAACTGAGGGGGGATGTGATAGAGGTTGATGAAATCATGACTGGTGTGGAGAAAGTGAATAAGAAAGTGTTATTTATCCCTTCATGTAACACAGGAGCCAGGGCTCACCCAATGAAATTAATATGCAACAAACGAAAGGAAGTATTTCTTCCCAGGATGCACGGTCAATCTGTGGAACTCCTTGTCAGGGGATGTTGTGAAGGCCAAAAAAGAATTAAATAAGTTCACAGAATATAGGTCCATCAATGGCTATTAGCCAAGATGGTCAGGGATGCAATCCCATGTTCTGGGTGGCCCTAAGCCTCTGCCAGAATCTGGGACTGGACAACAGGAGGTGGATCACTTGATACATTGCCCTGTTCTGTTCACTCCCTCTGAAGCACCTGGCACTTGCCACTATCAGCTAGATGGGCCATTGGTCTGACCTAGGATGGCCATTCCTATGTTCTTGTGCCATGATTGTATGGGAGATTTTATTAAAAGTTTCCAATATTTCCACTTTCCATTGTTGCTGAAAGTTCCCAGTGGTTAACATGTTGTATCGCTGTGGTGACTTGTGCTGATCTGCAGAGAGAGTTCAGGCTCTAGACACTAAAACCCACATTTGATCCCCACAGGCCTCTTTAGAGTCAGGGCATTGGATAATAAGGTGCTCATCTGTGCTCGTCCAGTTCCAGGGGGCCTCAGCAAGTACAGCTGCCAAGGACTTTAGCTTCAGCATCCCAGACCTTGAGCTCCTCAAGATGGGAGCTCTCCTTCTGTAGTACTTGGAGTCATGGGAGCAGAGCTCCAGTCATTGCAAGACCCAAACCTGGTTGACCAGGAGTCTGGGAAATCAGGGCTCCACAGCACTGTAAAAACCCCATTTTGCTTAACCCCAGTTCCTGGTGCTCCTGCCTAGCCAGAGTACGCTGAGCTCTCCTGGCACAGTGCCTTCCTGAATCCCCCCTCAGTGTTTGTCTGATTGTCAGATGTTCCCCCAACGCTGTTTGTTGCTAAGTGAAGCTTTACAGAGCTCCTGGCACCCATTGCCATGGGCAGGCTCGTCTGAGTGGTGCGATGCTGGGGAGCCTGGCCAGGCTGCCCCTCTGTGTGTCATGCTGTGTTCCCAGCATTGCCCTCTCACCTGCCAGGCTCACAAGAACCAGGCTGGCCTGAGGAAGAAGGATGCCACGAAGGCAGGTCCCAGGAAGGCACAGAAAGGCACAGCTGCTCTGGGGGTCTTGAAGAACAATGAGATCAACTTGAAAAAGTGAGTAACATTCTGTGGGTCAGCCCTGATGCAGCCCCAGCACCGCCCACCCCTTGCAGCTGAGCTGGGGTCCTTGCTCTGATGGATGCGCATTTACCCTGTTATCGGAGCCGCTGTCCCTCTGGCTAGCCCCATTACTGGCTCGCACAGTGCTGTCACTTTCCAGGCTGCAGCCCAAGGGGACCCTCTGGCAGAGGGTCAGTCTCCAAAAGCTTAATGTCTCTCTGTGCCAATGCTTCTTGGCTCTCAGGGTCTCTTGGTGGAGCTGGGGCCTCTGATGGCAGGACCTTTGCCAGCTGGGAGGGTGGGGTGTCCTTGGAGAGGCTTTCGCCATTGGGAATGTGCTCAGCCTGCCTGTTGGCAGACTCTGCGGCCATGGCGAGCTCCCCTCCAGAGGGGAACTAGGAGGATAGTTGAGAAAATGGAGTGGGAGAAGCTGCAGGCCAGGCCAGGCCCCACAGTGTAAAACGGGGTAAAGGAACATCCCTCCATCTTGGCTGGCTGATGCACAGGGGAGAAGGGAAATCCTAAGGGATGTGGCTACAGCTAAAGACAAATAGGAAGCTGGGATGTGGAAGGAAGGGGTGTCGCTATGTGGAAAATAGTCTAATGCTATTATATATCAATGGGGCGTGCTGCCCACGGATGCTGGGCAGTTATTATCACCCTGTCTGAAAGGAGATGGCAGACGCATGTGTGTGTCTCCTTGATGAGAAGATTCAGGGTCCTGGAAAAACTCGTAGGAAGAGAGATGGGGATTGTGTGCCTTGGAGAGGAGACTAATACTAGGGGATGTGAGGCGGATGTAGAAAGGGAGTGGTACGGAGGGGACAGATGGGAGATCCTTGTCATCCTAACACAAGGACAAGGGGACTTCAATGGGATTGAAAGCCATTCCATTTAAAACTGCTAAAGGAAAATGCCTTTTACATACAATGCACAGTTGGCCTGTGGAACTCTGTCACAAGATCTCATGTAGGCCAAAAGCGTAGTGGAATTCAAGGAAAGTTTGGGTGTTGATGTGGATAACGGGAACCTTCATGGTGGTGATAGTCAAGATAAAATATTGACAGGGCTGTAAAGCCTCCTGCTTCAGGGTATCAGCCGGTCATGGACAGGGAAGACATTTCCCTCATGGGCAGGTGTCTTTGTTCACTTGGGGGGTTTCTTGCCCTGCCTCTGAAGCAGCTATTACAGGGCGCTATTGGAGAGAGGATCCTGGGCTCCTGGACCTGGTCTGATGTGATCTGGCGATTCCTGGGGCACTGGATGACCAACACCCCCCAACCTCTTCCTGAGATCTAGAGCCAGAGACTCCCCAGGCTGCCCCTGAGCCTGGCCTTTTGCAGTGTCTGACCCGCTCTTGGCTGCTTCTGTTAGGGCAACGAGGAAAACACCCCCGGATGAGGCATCTGCTGAGCCCAAACTGGTTCCCAAGAATGACCCGGTGCTGGAGGAGTCGGCGCCTGTGCAGGTCAGTGGAATTGGGTGCCCACTGCCAACCTAGTGACCCCTGGGAGGGCGATAGGCGTGAGCAGCACATGGGGCTCAGCTGGTATTCTGGTGTTGCATTCCTCGCGGGAGGCAAGTGTCCACGCCTCACCCTGTCCCTAGATGGCGCTCGTTCACCTCTTCCTGGGGATACCGGAACACTGCCTGCAGTTGCTGCCTCAACTGCTCACCCTGTAGGGGGACTGAGCCTCGGGCCCTGTCCATCTGCGTGCGTGAAGCCAAGCCGCACCTTGCCCCCTCCCCAGCTGCTGGGCTACACAGATGGGATCTGGGGGCTAATTTCCCCTGAACGCTGTGTGGGGGCAGGTCTGCTCCCTGCAGGCCACATAGGCAACCTGCTCCAGAAAAGTCCCACCAGGTGAGCTGGGAGAGCAGCACGAGAGGTGTTGCAGAGCAGGATGAAGCGCAGTGACAGGGCTTGCAGCGCCGGCTGTGTTCCAGGCCGGGGTTTCCACATCGCTGTGGACACTCCTCTGCTAGCTGAGAGATGTGCGTTGGCAAAGCAGCCTGGGGCCGGCAGCCCAGTGCCTGACCAGCCATTGCTCTCACTGCCTCCTTGTCACAAGCACATGGGACTCCTCTCTCGAGGTACCTCTGGGACTCCAGAGCTATCCCCCAACCTTCTCTCCTTCTCCGCAGGCGCCTGCCATTGAGGACATTGACAAGGAGCAGCTGGGCGACGCTTACGCCAGCGCCGAGTACGCCAAGGAGATCTTCAATTACATGAAGGAGAGAGAAGTGTGTGGTGCTTGGGGAGGGCACAGGGATCTCAGCTTTGACCTTCTCTCCTTCTTCCTCTGCTGGACTGGCCCAGCCTCTCGGAGCTCGCTGGCTCGACGCCCTGGGGATGCCAGGCTGGCTCCAGGGGGCATCAGGCACAGGAAGGAGCTAGAATGCCAGGCTGAGGCCCCTAGAGTCTGAAAGGGGGAGGGATAGCTCAGTGGTTTGAGCATTGGCCTGCTAAACCCAGGGTTGTCAGCTCAATCCTTGAGGGGGCCATTTAGGGATCTGGGCCAAAAATTGGGGATTGACCCTGCTCTGAGCAGGGGGTTGGACTAGATGACCTCCTGAGGTCCCTTCCAACCCTGATATTCTATGATTCTATGAAGTCCCGTTGTCTCCACAGAAGAGAGTGCAGCCCCCTCCAGTGCATTTGCCTTCCACATTTCATGGCATTGCAAATGGGGGGCTGGTGCATTGGGAGGGCAGGCGGGTTGCACCTTAGCACTTGAAGCATAAAGCTTGATTTCCAAAAGCCCTTGACTCATGTCCTGGCTGGCTTGGCTCAACCTTTCGCTCTTTCCAAGCAGGCAAACTAGCTCCAGGCAGCCTGTTGCATACAGCTCTCTGTTCCCCCTGCCCGCTCTGCGCAGCCTCCCTGGAGCCCAGGGCTCTCCTGGCAGGAGGCTGGCTAGTCCTGGGCAGGGTGATTGTTTCCACTTGGCTGACGGCCACTCTGTCCATGGCAGTGAATCTCCCTGAGAAACCCTGGGCAGGCCCTGGTGGCCATTTCCCCTCCGGCCGTGCTGCTTGCTGGCCTAGCAGGGGAAGCAGGCTGGGCTCCTAGCTCACCTTTGCATGGTAAAGCCCAGTTACTGCTGCTCTCCTTGCAGCATTGTCTGTGCGGATGGCACCTTCTGGCAGGAACTGTTCCCCCAGCCACTAATCCCTGCTGGGGGCCGTGGGTGCCCCTTCCCTTGATGTAGCAGGGTTGGCTGGCCCCAGGAGAGATGAGTAGCATAGGGTAGGATCAGCTGGGCTCTGGCATCCAGCCCATCACGAGAGTTGGAGCCATTGCAGAGACACAACTGGGCTTGGGCAGTGGGTAGGACCCTCCTATGTCAACAGTGGTGCTGAGGGTCTGTCCCAGGGAGGCCCTGCCATGACAGCGGCAGCTCCTGGCTATGGTGCCATGGAGAGGGCTTAGCAGCCTGCCTGCAGGATGGCAGGGCCATGGACTCAGCCCCTACCCGCATGCTGCAGTGGGTGGGCTTCATTCACTAACAGCCTCTCTGTGGCTCCCTTGGCAGGAGAAGTTCTTGCTCCCAAACTACATGGAGAAGCAGTACGACATCAGCAGGGACATGAGAGCCATTCTGGTGGACTGGATGGTGGAGGTCCAGGTGCGCACCTGGGCTCCTTTGGGGGGAGGGAGAGTACGAGCTGCCAGGAGAGCACCAGCGTGTGCACAGTGTCTGTTTGTAACACAAACCCCAGCCAGCTGGAGGTGGCGCAGACCAGCCCTCCCTCCCCTGTGGGCTTGAGCAGGAGCCACGTGGAGGAGAGAAATCCCTCAACACCCCCCCACACCTCCCATGTGGCTCGGCTGCACGCAGCTGTGAACCTAGCTTGTGGCGGGGGTGAAAGGGCTGTGAGTGGAGAAGGGATTGCAGAAAGGGGGCTGCAGGCCAGGGGGAGGAAGCCGCTTACCATGTTTCTACGGTGTCCTTGGGAGGGGCCGGTAACCTCGTGGAGACGCTGGCCCTGACTCTCCTCTGGACGTACATCAGGAGCCAGCCCTGGAGTCTGGACAGAGGAGGAACAGCCTGGCGAGTCAGACAAGTGGAGCGCCAGGGACCCTTCCCTGTGCCAAACGACACTGATCTGTGCCTGAGCTCTTGGGGTGGGCAGCCTGGGGCAAAGCAGCAGACGCGACCTTCACCCCCGGGCTGGGAATGGGAAGCGTTTTCCCCTGGCTGCTAAAACAAGTCCCAGCCTGCATGAGGGCAAGTCTCAGGAGCAGAGCAGTGAGGGGCGCTGTTGCCCCTTGCCCTGAGTCTGCTGCATGGGGCGCTTGCCTGCGGAGGGCAGCTGGGGAACGTAGCAAACCCTGAGTGCCTGCTCCCAGTGTGGGTCACACTGGCTGGCATGTGCCATTCCATCTGTCTCTCCCCCAGGAGAACTTTGAGCTAAACCATGAGACGCTGTACCTGGCGGTGAAGCTGGTGGATCACTACCTGGTGGAGGTGGTGAGCATGAGGGACAAGCTGCAGCTCATCGGTTCCACGGCCATCCTCATCGCTTCCAAGTTTGAGGTGACCCAGCTCTGGCCTGGGCAGAGAACTGTGGGGTGTTGGGGGCATCCTGGCTTGTCGGCAGTGGGTAACACATCCCTATGGCCTGCCCCTTGGAACACACTGTGTGGCTGGGTAAACTTGGCTCCAGATCCCTTCCAAATATGGCTAATGGGCCCTTCATGCCAGGCTCAGAGGGGGACACACATGGAGCATGCCATGCAGTCACATCATAGCCCCCACTCAGCTCATGTGGCTAAGGCCATGGTACAGCGATTGGCTGTTGCTGCTCGAAAGGCCCCAGTGCCAGAATAGCCGTGAGGGGGTGGGCAGGCTGGGATCAAGGGAGTAGTGGGCTGGAATTTACCCCTTGGGGCCTAGTTAGCCCTTAGACAGATCCTACTGGTTAGCATCTCACCTTTAACACAAATCCCTGGGAGCGTGTGCTGGTGTGAATAGGGCTGTACCAGCAAAGGGGGGGAAGATCAGGCAATTGGGACATTCCAAATGCTAAAGCTGCCCCATGAACTTGGACCTCGGTGCACATCCTATGGACCGAGTGTGCTGCGATAGCTGCCACTGAGCAACTAACCTGAACAAGGGAGGAAGGGCTGCATGGATCGCTCCGTAGCATGGCGGCGGTAATGTTACGCCTGACTTGAGAGCGTTGGAGCCATGATGCAGGATTAACTTGAGTTTTTGTGTTTAATTTCCTCACCAAAGGAGGAAACAGGAAGTGGGGAGGAATCCCAGGGAGAGAATGCTGCCATTGGTGACAGGGCTGATATGCTTTCTGATCCCACAAGTGCTGGTTAAAGCATTCCAATGCACTGTGCTTGGGAATGGAGCCCAGCTGTTCCAGGCACTGGCAGTTTGTTGGCACACCATCCACACCCTATTCTGTAACCAAAAATCAAACCAAGCCGGAGAGATGTCCGTCCGTCGTCCCGTCCCGTCGTCCCGTCCCGTCGTCGTCCCCCCCCCCCCCCCATCACCACCACCTTGGTATTATGGTGAAAATCCCCAGCCTGAAAGGTGAAAGTTTGGGCAAGTTACCCAGGTGGGGAGACTGGGTAGGGCTGGTCAAAAATTTCCCGATCAATCAAATGCCCCAAATTGATATTTCAATCCAGATATACTGCTGCAGTGCCTTGTGGGAACTGTTGGTGGGTTGTCTCCTGCTAGATTTTCCGCTATGGTCTAGCTCCCTGGTTGGACTACATCTCCCATGATGCACTGCCTCCCCTTTCTAAGAGGGTGAACTTTGGGGCATCCTGCAAGATGTCGAGCCCACCCTGTAGAGGAGAACAGGAGCATGAGGCACCCGAACTCTTAACTCCCATGATGCACTGCAATGCCATTTCCCCAATAAAATCTTTCGATTTTGAATTTTTGCTGAAAATAAGTTTCCCATGGAAAACTTGGATGAAAGTGAAGTGCTCTGCATCGGCCTGCCCCGTCTTCAATGTGCATCACTGCTTGGTGCCATCTGCAACGATCATTTGGCCCACCACTGAAATGCAGCCACCTCTGGAACAGTGGCGGCTGTTCAACAGCAGCAATACAGGGCAGTTCTGGAGTGGTGTTATCCCATTTGTGACTGCAGGGCTGGCCCTGGGGGGCAGCAGGGCTGGCCCTGGGGGGCAGCATGGCCGCATCCAGGCTGAACTCCAGCCAGGACACCAGGGTTCCCATTTCGTAGAAGTGCCAGTGTGTTTTTAAAGAGCCAGAAGGGAAATCTTCCAAAAAGTGGATAAAGGGATTGGGAGCCAAGTCCACTGAAAGTGAATGGGATTCGTGCTCCAAGTTCACCTAGATGCTTCTGAAAATCTCACCCCAAGGGGGTCGGGTTTTAGTTTAGCCCTCACCAGGCAGCTCAGCACAGCGCCCCCTAGGGACTGTCACGGGCCTGGGTGTAGGTGGGGCTGAGCGGTTCTGTGGCTGTTCCCCTTTAGGAGCGCTGCCCCCCATGTGTGGACGACTTCCTCTACATCTGTGACGATGCCTACAAGAGGGAGGAGCTGATTGCCATGGAGATGAGTATCCTCCGCACGCTGAAGTTCGACATCAACATTCCCATCCCGTATCGCTTCCTGCGGAGGTTTGCCAAGGTGGGGCCTCATTTCTGCCTGTAGCGGGGGATGTGGCTGGTCACAGCTAGAGGCTGGCAGGCGACCTCGATGACACCCTCCCCCACCAGCCAGCTGGCACAATCACATTGCGCTGCTGGTGGGGAAATGAGCACAACGTAGGCATAAAGTGCTCTCGTTCATGCTGTCTGCATCGTCCCTACGAGGGGGTGGCGCCCTGGGGACGGCAAAGGCTGCTTTTTTGCCGGAAGGAAAATGCTAGCTTGTCCGAGGAGCTGTAACCAGCAAACAAGCTCTCTCCCTTCTCCCCATCCCCCGGATCCTATCGCTCCTGCCAAAACCTGCCGTCCCTTTCCGCGCCGCAGTGGCCTGGAGGAAAGTCCCGGCTTGGGGCACTGAGGGGAGCAGAGTGGGATGTTCTGTGCCATGCCAGGAGCAGCAATTTCTTTCTCCGCCATCCGCTTGCTCTTTGGTCCATGTAGGCCTGGCCATCTCAGTCATGTGGAAGCGCTGGCTGGCTCCTCTGCCCCGCCTAGTGGTGCCCCCTGCTCTGCCCGACACACCCACAGCAGGAAGCTCTCTCCTGTCCAGGGAGGGGAATCAAGTGCTTGCTTGGCTGTGAGCACCAGAAGGGACAGGAGTATTTGGCACTCAAGGTGGGAGATGAGCAGGCGTCCAGGCCTGGATGCTGGAGGCTCCTCCATGGAGAGGTCTGGGGGTCTGGATCTGGCTTGTCCCAGCAGGAAGAGCAAGACAGTTGGTCCAGTCCCAGCTGCTTGGCTTGAGTGACCTGGACAGGCAGCCAGGCTGGCTCACTCAGTGACTCTCCCCTTGGGCCATGGGGTGCCTGTGTTCCAGGGTGCCCTGGACCCATCCCCCTTCCTCACCCCCGTGCTGAGCACCGACAGGGCCCTTACTGCAGTGAGCTGGCAGCTATCTGCTGGGTGGGACCACCTGCCTCTCCCATGCAGCCAGCGTTGAGCAGGGCTCTCCAGTGCAGACAGTGTGCTCCCCCATGACCATGCCCGCCCTGGCTCTGGGGGCACCTAGGGGAGGCATCTCCCCTTCACTAAGTGCTCAGCAGGGAGGTCTCACCGCAGCTCCTTCCCCTCCCATGGTCCCAGTGCGCTCACGCCAGCATGGAGACACTGACCCTGGCCCGCTTCATCTGTGAGATGACCTTGCCGGAGTACGACTACGTCCAGGAGAGTGCTTCCAAGCTGGCTGCGAGCTGCCTGCTCCTGGCGCTCAAGATGAAGAGTCTTGGTGGATGGGTGAGTGTCCTGCTCTCCTGGCCCTTCCCCATACCAGGCTGTCCAGATTAGCTCCACTGACCCCAAGGGGCAGGAGGCTGCCCGGAATGGCTTCCCCTTTGGCTGCTGTTACTGGCTCTCCAGCCAGACGACACTGCTAGTTTCCCCCAGGGACCTGCGGGTGGGCCCTGTCCTGGAGCCACTGGGAAAGTGGCTGCAGGAGGGTTGGTCCCAGATCCTGCAGTCTGTGCAGGGAACCCTCAGCCTTGAGCTACTGATGCTCTTTCAATCCTGGATGGGCAGGGAAGCCCCACCCCTTCCACTTCTCCTTTGGTCCTGCCCCTAATAGCTAGCTACACGTGAGCCTGTGGGGCCCAAGTTCCTAACCCTGTTGAGTCCCACACCTGCTCTCCAGCTCCCACCTTCCAGAGGGTGCAGGGCCTGAGGTAGGGGCAGCTGTACTGGGCAGGCCCTGGTACCTTCAAGGGCAGTTAGAGAAGGGGGTAGCTCACCGCACTCTCCAAGCCGGGCCCTCAGCAGCCTCAGGAGTGGGGTTTGCGCTACCTTCTCATCCTCTCTAGCTGGCCCCACAGGCAAGGGGAGAAGGATGTGACATTCTTGTCCAATGCTTCCTGCCTGGCAGCTGACTCTGGTGCTTGGCTGCTCCCCCCTTTGACCACAGTGTCCCTGTTTGCAGATGGCCACCTGCACAGAGGCCATTGCTTTGGCTCTGGGTGGGGACCTGACTGGGCCTGTCTCTGCTCCTATCTCTCCACGATGAGAAGCCAAACTCAGCTGTTATCTAAATTAGGCCAGTGATCCATGTCCTGTCTGCACTGGAGTCCGGCCAAGCAGCCATTAGAGGGTCAGGGCATCCCAGGGGTCAGATCTATTCCAGTGTCCTGGAAGAAGCAGTGTGGGGTATATGTGCAATGGTGCTGGACCAGGCTCTGAGTCTCTAACACATTGCAGAGCCCCACGCTGGAGTATTACAGCGGATACAGCTCTCATGAGCTCCATCCGCTGGTGAAGAGGCTGAACTTCCTGCTGACCTACCAGCACGATGACAAGTTAAAGGCAGTGCGCACAAAGTACTCCCACCGGTGAGTGGACTCTCCTTGTGGCGGTGTGTCTGATGGGCTGGGGGCCGGGACAGTTCTTCCACTGGCCAGCAGGGGGCGCTGCACTGGGCAGCCTGGGGCGGAAGCTGTGAAGCTGTTGCTCAATCTCAATGCCCTGCTGCTTTGGCCCCAGTGCAGTGTCAGCTTCCAAGAGACCATTGTGATCACCTTTTCTGACCTCTGGCCTGCGCTCTGCAGAAGAACGTTGATCTGCAGCATGGCAAGGGTTGGCTGCCCCCAGTCGCTCTGAACTTTGTCTCTTTAGAGCTAGGTGTGGCTTCTGACACCTCGGGCCTGCTGCATCGAGGGCGGGGGGAGCAACTGAGCCACCTGGGCTGGCTGGCAGAGGCTGGCCCAGCAGGAGCTCTCTGTACTACAGCTAAGGGCTGACCTGCATTCCACAATCTGTCAGTGCTCTAAGGGGTTCTCCCTGGGCTGTGGCTGCTGCAGGGGCAGAGCCAGCAAAACTGCCCTTTACGCTGGAGCCATGGGCCACCCTGGCCTGGAACGTATGCCGCAGGCCTCTGCTGGGGGAGGGGCAGGGGTAGCACCTGAAAGGGAGAGGACCTGCAAAGAGAGAAATTTGCCCTTTGCTCTGTGTAAAAGGGGCCTGGAAGGCTTGTACACTAGGAGCTCAGGTCCCATGTGCCCAGAAGGACTCCATAGTGGCTGGAGACATGCCAACAGGGACAGGGCATGGGGGTGGGGTTGCTAGACTGAGCACCTCATGCCGATTTAACGCCAATGCCTAATGAACTCGTTGGAGAAAGGAATCCTTTGCTAATGACCACAGGCATTTGGCTGGGGCCCAGTGCCCCAGCAGACTTCCCTCAGGTTGGCTGGAGCTCCCCCCCCCCCCCCCCGTACCCTGTCCTATGCTGTGTTCCTCCCCCGGGTGTGCCCCACTAACAGGCCTGTGTCACCTTTTCAGAGTCTTCTTCGAAGTGGCCAAGAGTGCTCCCATGGACATGCTGAAGTTGGAAGTGGCTCTGAAGAGCTAGCCCAGGAGATGGGGGGAGCAGCCCTCCTGGGGGCTGGCAGCCCTGCCCCTGGCTAGGAGGGGTGCACGGCCCATGTGTAAATATCCTGTACATAGAGATTCGCTCCCTTGGCCCAGATGGGTCTGTACATAGATTTTTTTTTTAATGTTAAAGGGGGGAAAAAATGTAGGAAGTGTTGTTGGGGGACTAAACACATGGAAAATAAGTCAATAAAATATTGTGTATCTGTCCTGCCTGGCAGAGTCTGTTTAGTATTCCCAGCCCAGCAGTGGCGTGAGGTCAGGGCCCCTTGTTGTACAGATACCTAGCAAGACACTCCCTGCCCCCAGGGAACTTGCAGAGGAAATACAGGCCAAAGGCTGGGAGGGGTGATGTGTGGCCCATGGGCCACACAGCTGGGTGGCGTGCTGGGGGAGGGTTAGCAGCGTTGTTTCTTTGAGGTTTGCTGGGGTAGCACCTGGCCTCCTCTTGTCTATTGTGCAAGACAAGGGACTTACAGCCACAGAGGGGTTCTTCCTGACCCTGCTTCCTGCATCTGAAGCACCGATAGATGGCTTCTTTCTGGCTGGGTCTTGTATCCCAGCCCCTGGTTCCGAGCTATCTGGATGTACCTGTGACTGCCGCATGGCATCAGTGGGTGCTAGGTGGTAGCACTTTGCAAGCTGCGTGCTGAATGGCGACCCTGCAAACTAGGAGATAGTCTTAAAATGACTCTTCCTCCTTGTGCCAGTATCAGTGAGTCCAACGGACGCAGAGATACTCCTGAAAACCCTGGGAGATTCTGCAGGCACCTGAATTTAGCCTCCAGAATCATTATTGATGAAGAAGCCAGCTTGATGCTCAGATCACAGGGGAAGTAAGGGAAAAAAAACCCATGGCATTAAATCATTGTGGAGTTACTGTGGCACATGAGAAATGGGGCCATTTGATTTTAGGCAAAAGCACACCTAAGCCCTACTGGGTCAGAGAAATGGTCCATCTAGCCCAGTATCCTGTTTTCCAACAGTGGCCAATGCCAGGTGCTTCAAAGGGAATGAATAGGGCAATTCTCGAGCGATCCATCCCGTCATCCAGTCCCAGCTTCTAGCAGTCAGAGGCTTAGGGACACCAGAGCATGGGGTTGTATCCATGACCATCTTGGCTAATAGCCATTGATGGACGTATCCTCCATGAACTTATCTAGTTCTTTTTTTGAACTCACTTATACTTTTGGCCTTCACAACATCCCCTGGTGGTGAGTTCCACAGGTTGACGTGTGTTCTGTGAAGAAATACTTCCTTTTGTTTGTTTTTAAACCTGCTGCCTATTAATTTCATCAGGTGACCCCTAGCGCTTCCTTATTCACTGTGTCCACACCAGTCATGATTTTATAGACCTCTCTCATATCCCCCCCCATTCATCTCTTTTCCAAGATGAACAGTCCCAGTCTTTTTGATCTCTCCTCATGGAAGCTGTTCCATACCCTGGTCCTTTTTGTTGCCCCTCTCTGCACTTTCCCAGTTCTAAAATATCTTGGGTTTTTTTGAGGTGGGGTGACCAGAAAGTATGCAAGGTGTGAGCATACCATGGATTTATGTAGTGGCATTATATTTTCTATATCTATCCTTTTCCTAATGGTTCCTAACATGCTGTTTAGCTTTTGTTTGTTTGTTTGCTGCTGCACATTGAGCACAAGATTTCAGAGAGCTACCATGATGACTCCAAGATCTTTCTTGAATGGTAACAGCTAATTTAGACTCCATCATTTTGTATGGATAGTGGGGATTATGTTTTCCAATGTGCATTACTCTACATTTATCAACACTGAATTTCAGCTGCCATTTTTGTTGCCCAATCATTCAGTTTTGTGGGATCCCTTTGTAATTCTTTGCTGTCAGCTTTGGATATCTTGAGTAATTTTACATCATCTGCAAGCTTTGCCACCTTACTATTTGCCCCCTTTTCCAAATCATTTATGAATGTTGAATAGCACAAGTCCTGATACAGATCCTTGGGGGACCCTGCTATTTAACTCTCACCACTCTGAAAACTGACAATTTAGTCCTACCCTTTGTTTCTTATCTTTTAAATAGTTACTGATCCATGAGAGGACCTTCCCTCTTATCCCATGACTGCTTACTTAGCTCAAGTGCCTTTGGTAAGGGACCTTGTCAAAGGCTTTCTGAAAGTCCAAGTACGCTATAGCCAGTAGATCACCCTTGTCTGTGTTTCTTGACACCCTCAAAGAATTCTAACAGGGGCATGAGTTTCCTTTACAAAAGCTGGGTTGACTCTTCCCCACCATATTGTATTAATCCATGTGCCTCATAATTCCGCTCTTTACTATAGTTTCAGCCAATTTGCCTCGTCCTGAAGTTAGACTTACCAGCCTGTACTTGTCAGGATCACCTGTGGGCCCTTTTCTAAAATATGGCATCATATTAGCTATCCTAGTCATGTGTTACAGAGGCTGATTTAGGTGATAGGTTGCAAACCACAGTGAGTAGTTCTGTAGTTTCACATTTGAGTGCCTGCAGAACTCTTGGGTGAATACCAGTTGGTCCTGGTGACTTCTTATTTCTAAATTTATCTATTTGTTCCAAAACCTCCTATAATAACACTTCAATCGGGGACAATTCCTCAGATTTGTCACCTAAAATGAATTTCCCAGGGTGGGAATCACCCTTGCATCCTCTGCCTGTCCCTTTAGAGTACCATGGGCAGTGCTGACTGCTGGGGTATTCAATGTTTTTGTCAAGATCCAAATGTCTTGGTCAAGATCTAGCCAGAGTCCAGACTCCAGAGAAGAAAATAATAAAAAAAGATTTTGGGGTCCATTCAAAAACACGTAGAGTCATAGACTTTAAGGTCAGAAGGGACCATTATGATCGTCTAGTCTGACCTCCTGCACAACGCAGGCCACAGAATCTCACCCACCCACTCCTGTAATAAACCCCTAACCTGTCTGAGCTATTGAAGTCCTCAAATCATGGTTTAAAGACTTTAAGGTGCAGAGAATCCTCCAGCAAGTGACCCGTGCCCCATGCTGCAGAGGAAGGTGAAAAACCCCCAGGGCCTCTGCCAATCTGCCCTGGAGGAAAATTCATTCCCATCCCCAAATACGGTGATCAGCTAAACCCTGAGCATGTGGGCAAGACTCACTAGCCAGACACCCAGGAAAGAATTCTCTGTAGATATCTCAGATCCCACCCCATCTAACCTCCAATCACAAGCCATTGGGCATATTTACTGCTAATACTCAAAGATCAATTAATTGCCAGAATTAGCCTATCCCATCTCATCATACCCCTCCATAAACTTATCAAGCTTAGTCTTGAAGCCAGATAGGTCTTTTGTCCCCACTGCTCCCCTTAGAAGGCTGTTCCAGAACTTTGCTCCTTTGATGGCTCGAAACCTTTGTCTAATTTCAAGTCTAAACTTCCTGATGGCCAGTTTATATCCATTTGTTCTTGTGTCCACATTGGTACTGAACTTAAATAATTCCTCTCCCTCTCTGGTATTTATCCCTCTGATATATTTATAGAGAGCAATCATATCTTCCCCTCAGCCTTCTTTTGGTTAGGCTAAACAAGCCAGGCTCTTTGAGTCTCCTTTCATAAGACAGGTTTTCCATTCCTCAGATCATCCTAGTAGCCCTTCTCTGTACCTGTTCCAGTTTGAATTCATCCTTCTTAAACATGGGAGACCAGAACTGCACACAGTATTCCAGATGAGGTCTCACCAGGGCCTTGTATAATCGTACTAACACCTCCTTATCTCTACTGGAAATACCTCGCCTGATGCATCCCAAGACCGCATTAGCTTTTTTCACGGCCATATCACATTGCCGGCTCATAGTCATCCTGTGATCAACCAATACTCCGAGGTCCTTCTCCTCCATTACTTCCAAGTGATGAGTCCCCAGTTTATAACAAAAATTCTTGTTGTTAATCCCTAAATGCATGACCTTGCACTTTTCACTATTAAATTTCATCCTATTACTATTACTCCAGTTTACAAGGTCATCCAGATCTTTCTGTATGATATCTCGGTCCCTCTCTGTATTGGCAATACCTCCCAGCTTTGCCTCATCTGCAAACTTTATTAGCACACTCCCACTTTTTTGTGCTAAGGTCAGTAATAAAAAGATTGATCCCAAAACCGATCCCTGAGAAACTCCATTAGTAACCTCCCTCCAGCCTGACAGTTCACCTTTCAGTATGACCCATTGTAGTCTCCCCTTTAACCAGTTCCTTATCCACCTTTCAATTTTCATATCCACCCCATCTTTTCCAATTTAACTAATCCCCCATGTGGAACCGTATCAAATGCCTTACTGAAATGAAGGTAAATTAGATCCACTGCCTTTCCTTTGTCTAAAAAAATCTGTTACTTTCTCAAAGAAGGAGATCAGGTTGGTTTAGCACGATCTACCTTTTGTAAAACCATATTGTATTTTGTCCCAATTATCATTGATCTCAATGTCCTTAACTACTTTAGAGACTAACCAATTTATTTGAGCTCATGCTCAAATAAATTGGTTAGTCTCTAAGGTGCCACAAGTACTCCTTTTCTTTTTGCGAATACTGACTAACACGGCTGTTCCTCTGAAACTTAACTACTTTCTCCTTCAAATTTTTTTCCAAGACCTCGCATACTACAGATGTCAAACTAACAGGCCTGTGGTTACCTGGATCACGTTTTTTTCCGCTTTCTTAAAAATAGGAACTATGTTAGCAATTCTCCAGTCATAGGGTACAGCCCCTGAGTTTACAGATTCATTAAAAATTCTTGCTAATGGGCTTGCAATTTCATGTGCCAGTTCCTTTAATATTCTTGGATGAAGATTTGAGCCCCCTGATTTTGTCCCATTAAGCTGTTTGAGTTTGGCTTCTACTTCAGATGTGGTAATATCCACCTCCATATCCTCATTCCCATTTGTCATCCTGCCATTATCCCTAAGCTCCTCATTAAAGACTGAGGCAAAGTATTTGTTTAGATATTGGGCCATGCCTAGATTATCCTTAACCTCCACTCCACCCTCAGTGTTTAGTGGTCCCACTTCTTCTTTCTTTGTTTTCTTTTATTTATATGGCTATAGAACCTTTTACTATTGGCTTTAATTCCCTTTGCAAGGTCCAACTCTACATGGCTTTTGGCCTTTCTCACTTTATCCCTGCATGTTCTGACCTCAATAAGGTAGCTTTCCTTGCTGGTCCCTCCCATCTTCCACTCCTTGTAGGCTTTCTG